AATCACTCATCAAAATGTAAAGCGTGATGGTGTCGTTAAGAGCCCATCATTCAACGGGCACTCCAACCCCAAACATGTAACATGGGTACTTCTGTAATGATGAAAGTACTCCTGGCGCCCAAAGATTATGAAGTGCATCTCATCTTACAAACTGGGTAGATGAGGCCCAAAGAAAGTGAAAAAATATGAAATTTCAGTTAAAAAGAGAACCAAGAACATCCTCTCATCCCAAGATGCTCTTGTTTTGACTTGCTTTGTGTCCTTCTATGTAATGCCATAAAGGGGAAAACAAGAGATTGAAAAACCCCAGTTCACCCATAATAATCCTACCTATCATAACATGTCTCTAAGGTAAAATTTTTGCATATATTTTGCCATAAAATAATTATTTTGTTAAACCTCAGCATACCCAAAATATACCTCAGAATAAGCGTGCAACATGTGCAGTTGTGGTGTTGGTGAGAAATTATATAACCAAATATTTTCCTGCCATTTTTCACTTGTGTATAAAGGTCTACTTTATTATAAAAGACATGCATCCAAACAAAGCATTACTAAAATAGACCAATAATTAATTAATTAATCAAACAGAAAGGTGAATAGGCAAAAGCTGCTATCCTCTGCATAGCAGAGGCTGCGCGAATGTATGGTTGTAAGGAGGAGTACAGTCGATAAAGGTGGAAATTGGTGGGGCAAAACTAGAAATGTTCACTCTGAGGAGCCTCGCTCAGTGATAGAGACTTTGCTGGAATGTGCGAGGCCTGTTTCAAGTTTTAGCACCTTAAACAAATGAACAAACAAACAAATGCCAAAGAAATATTCATAATGGGCAATAGTTGATTACATGGGGAAAAGTTAACATCACCACAGGGTCATGAATCCTTGCAGTAGAAACCCAATCATCATGCAGCTCTTTGATGAGTAGTCGTACCCCCAAGGCAGATTTGAAAAGGATACAAAGAATTCCCAGAGGTAAGTAAATTGTGTGACAGAAACAGGGTCTATAACTCAGAAAAGATACTCTGGTATCTAAAGCCTAAAGGTTCCCAGTAAGAGGTTGGTAAAAGAACAGAGCTTGGCAGAATGTCCTTGACAGTCAAAGTGCAAATCTATTTCTGAATTTATTCAGCTGGGCAATCATACATTTGTTAAATCTTGCTGTCTAGATTTCACAGTGTGAGATCAGGTAAGTAAGATGGACAGGACACAAAGTAAGGTTTTTGCAAATATGCCTTTCCATTGTTGGCACTGAGCAGCAACATCCACCATACTCTTGATCTTATTTACTAAACACACAATAGAGACTTCTAGAACTACTTCAGCTAGTGGCAAGAATAACAGATAAGTGCATTCAAAGCAAGGGGAGGAAGGGGAAGAAGGGGAGTATTTTGAGGGAAATTACTGTCAATGTGCCTTAATTCACTGTATTGTTTAGCACACCTTGTATATAAGAGGTTAAAAATCAGAGAGAGAGAGAGAGAGAGAGAGAGAGAGAGAGAGAGAGAGAGAGAATACAAAAGGTTTTAGAAGAGGAGCTAAGAAAAGAGAAAAATAGTGTAGGTCAGGAGGCGTATGATACTAAGGAACAACAGCTATATGAAGAATAAAAGGTGCAAAGTGCCATAATCCATCTGATTCCTGAAATCTGAATCTGCACATTGTACTCTCAAAAGTTTAAATATTGAAAACATACTAATGTACAGTTTTCCTCTTGGATCCTTGCCCCTCAGGTTCAATGTTTTGGCCTTTTTCATCATTTCCATTGCAATGAAAATTCTATAAGTCTTTTCAGAGGTAGATGTTCTAGGTCACTGGAAAGCCCTTCCTTCTGTCATGGGATTCTACCCAGATGAAAATATTTCCTTGCTAGTCACTCCACCTCTGGCTAGCACGTGTCTTTTGACAAGTGATCACGGAAATTAAATAAAAGCATACATTTTCAGGGAGAAGGCTTTTATTGGGAAGAGAAAATGGTAAGGAATTTTAGCTTAATGATCTGACAAAAATTATGCCGGCCCTTAACAAGGGACAAAGTAGAAAAGGAATCCAGTGAGAACAGCTAGAGTAACATATTATGATGAAGCAGGTCAGACAAGCTCACTTTCAAAATCAGAGGCCAAATTTTAAGGCTTAGTTGAGTGGGGCCAGGGTCTGTCAGATCATAACCTCTAAATCTGGTTTTGTAGCTCAGGTGGAATATCATGGTTCAAGGGGGGAATTCCTTTCACAAGAAATCATTACACCTGCTTGGAGCAGTCTCAATCACATGAGGCTCTACTTTTCCTGCAATCCAGCTGATTGAGTTTGAGACAATGGCTGTAGACTTGGAAGCATTATTCCTGGAACTTTATAAAAGTTACAAAAGTAATCAGATGTTTGGGCAAATATTGAAAAATTGCCTTATTTTTAGCTCTGTGTCCTTGATATGAAAGGAAGATGAAATGGACTTGATAAATTTAGAGATAATGACTAACTTTGTAGACTCTATAAAAGAGAACTATATCTGGAATTTTAATGTACAATTAGATATACGAATGAAGAATTAGCTTTGTTGTGCTCTTAATTACCTTTGGGCATCTGTATCCTCAAGTGAAGAGTCACAGGTTGTAGAACAAACCTCTTTTAAGTCCTTGATTGTCTTTGATTAAAATGCAGATCCACTCTTAATGAACAACAGGTTAAGGCCCCAAGAGTTTATTTATCCTTTATGCCCATGGTGCTCTCTGATTAGATCATGAGTACGTCAACTCTGGTAAGGCCTGCTGCCACCGTGATTGATGTTGGAAGATCATAGTTTCTAGGATGTTCTCACTGCTTGTTCCTGTGATCCCTTTAACTTTGATTTCATACACAGCTGACTCATTCAAAATTACTTAAAGAAAAATTAATACTCCCACCATCACCGCTGGTGGCACAGAAGGCTTTGGTCTTACTCATGAATGTTTTAATAGCCTTGTTTGCACCCCAGTCTGTGAGAAACTGTGCTATGATGACATGTTTTTATTAACTAGAACTCGTTGGCTGGATGTGACAGAAGTTTAATTTGTTTTAATTATTTTCAACCAAAGGAAGGGTTTATTGGCTAGCATATTCGACATATGTATGGATAACTAAAGCTCACTTTAAGGGACGATGGAAAACAGAGGATTCTGTAGCACCACGGAGTTTCTGTCTCTGTCCTTTTCTATTTTTCCACTTTATCTCTGAAGATGTTACTGCACACAAGAACCCAGTTTCCACTCAGCGTGGTTAGCATGTTACTGTCTTAGCAAAAGAGAAAGGATATCTGCTTTCCTCAGATACAATTTCTTTATAGCTATTCACTAAAAGAAATTAGGGAAGACAAATCAATAAGCAATCATGGAGTATGACTGGGCAAATGATGGTCTTTGATAATTATTCTCCCCCACATGTGGAAACTTGTTGCTAGATATGTTATGGTCTAAATTTTCATACTACATTTAATGTCTTAAACATTGTTCAAATGGAAATGGGCATAGGAGATGTACTGCTCAGATCAAATGGCATTCTGAAATGATTTAATTTTGGGGCCAATCTTGCACACCAACAATGGATTCCAATTAGAGCTAGGGAGAGCACTGAATGCGGGGCCAGGGCATAAGGTCAGTGGGTCAGTGCCCGCCTAGCACAAAGTCCTGAGTTTGATTCTTGGTATGTATAAATAAATAAATAAGAGAGTGAGCATTGACTATGATGCAATCTTTTCCAGGTCACTAAAATATTCATTTAATTTTTGAGAGAATCAAGCTAAAAAACCACTCAACTCACAGTAATCCTAAATGCAGCCAGCTCTTCGCATCTGTGATTCCATGTTATAGATTCAACTAAAAGCGTTGTCCAAACATCACTGAAAAAAATGACATCTCCGCTGGATACATACAGACCTTTACTGATGATTATTCTCTGAAATTTAATAAAATTCCTTACAATACATTAAGTATTGTAAGTAACCTAGAGATAATTTAAAGCATATAAGGATATATGTATAAGTTGTATGAAATACTGCCTCATTTTATGTGAGGTACATCAGCTTCCATGATATTTGATAGCTATGAGGAGGTCTTAGCACTAATTCCCTGTGAATGCGGAAAGACACCATAAATTTCTTATTACGAACTCAAATATGGCTTCCTGAAATTATTTATTAATTGGTTTTAATCTTTAAGTCAGTCTTTGTCCCTTTCATTCCTTCTCTTACCCTTCTCTCCTCTTGCCTTCCTTTCTCCCTACCTTCCTGTCTTTTTTGTGTTTTTCATACACACAAAATAACTCATTTCCTCATATACCTAAATATAAACATGGTACTCTGCGGTACTGAACATACTATGTTGTCTCTTTTTCATGTCAATAAACCAGAGTTATTCAATATTTTATGTAAAATATTTTATAAATATTTCATTACCTATTTGAAATTTCTGAAAAAACTCTAACTCAATATTGTTTTGAAAATGTAATCTCTAAGCCAAATATGATTATCAGCATAAAATGTTCTCACTGAAATCATGAAGAGAATGTTTGCCTCACTATGAGAACACTCTCAGTAGTGCTGCGTGGGTCGCAGCAGCTATGGTGGGGGCAGGTGTGCCTTTGCTCCTGGTCAGGCGGTGGGCTACCCACACACTGTTCCCACACACCTGTATTGCTGCCATTTCCATGGGAAATGGATTTTCTCTGGAAGGTACTTAGAGAACCTGAAGTTCCAAAGGTAAGTCACAAATCAAGCTTTGGAAATAATAAAAAAAAAACATTTACAGCATATTGGATGCAAGAAAGAATGAGTTTATTAGCTCAAATATATATCTCATAAGAACATTGAAGCCTTAATGAATCACTTGTCTTGAAAATTACACACGTTTGACTCTTAATTTGAAAGAATTCTGTCAGCTAGTGCTTTATGCCAGAAGAAGAATGCAGAGAGGGTTGCTTACAATAGCCACTCCAAGCAGACACTAACGTATGTTGCTTAAAAATTCTGGAATTTAGTAAGTTGACCTGCAGAAGCCTGATCCATAGGTCGGTCTGTAACAAGGAGACTGGAAACTCCTAATAACGGAGAAGGATGGGCGGCAGAACCCAGATCCATAGCCCAGGGAAGGGAATCCACGGACTCCATAACCCAGGGGCCTGAAGCCACTGGAGCCACAGCCTGAGGAGTAGCAGCCCCTCGACCCATAGCCCAGGGAGTGGCAGCTGCTGGAGCCAAAGCCCAGAGATCCAGAGTAAGTCGTCTGGCAGGGACTGCAGAAGGTGGACGGCCTGGGGCGGTAGCAGGACGTCTGGCAGGGGCTGGACACTGCGCAGGAACTCTCGTAGCCGGCGGGCTCGTTGAAGGTCTCCTGACAGCCGCTGTAGAGAGAGGAGCCCAGCTGGCAGTTGGTGGGAGACTGGAGATCACTGGTGTAGACCAGGTTGCTGGGGTAGGAAGAGCCGCAGGAGGCGCCTGGGTATTGCAGGTAGCCCCCAAAGGAGCGGGAGGAGAAGTTTCCGGAGGAGCAGCCGTAGGACATGGTGAGAGGAAGAGTGAGTTCAGCTGAGTGTAACTGAGAAGACTCTGTAAGGTTCAATGTCAGGGTCTGGGCTGCAGCATATATATACTCTTCTCCCTGGGTGTGTCCACATTCCAGATGCTCCATTCTCCTCCCTTGCCATTTGCATGAGAATGTTTCTGCATATTATTTAATTTATCACGTTTATATACTTAATTGCACTTTAATCACTCTGGTAAATTTAGCAGGAAGCCACATAGAGTTTTTCTTCCCTGGAATTTGTTGTGGTTTGACCTTCAGTGTCTTAGTTTATCACAGTTCCCAATATCGTCTCCTTATTTTCAATGTGTACATGAAATCTTTACCCCAACAAAAAATTTATGTGAATTTTTATTTCCATTGTTACCTGGAGAATCAGTGGTCATCATTCAGAATAATGTGTCCTTTTGTTCAGAGCTACATTTCAAGTGCTTTCTATAAATACTAAATCTATTCAATAGTCCCAGTAGTTGTCAGTTAAATTCTTTATCCCTACCTCCAGCTAGGATGAGAATTTAATGATATTCCTCAAGGAAGAGCCTCCCTAGGCCATGCTCACCTAGGAATGAACACATGCTACCTTCTTAGTGTGACATTAAAGGGAAGTGACATCACATATTTTTCTTAAGCTTATTTTTCAGCTCATACTTATGCCTTGTATTAACTGACAGAATTTTTAAAAATTTTCTTGATGGCATTTTTTTGTTGGAAGGAAAGATTCTAAATTATTAATAGATACTTAACATTCTGGGGTGAATTTTCACATGATTCTAACTTGACATATTAGACTTATATGGCTATTTAAAGAAAACACGATTAAATATTATATTTTATTTATTTGTTTCCCATCCCATGCATGGAAGAATTTTGTCTCAGACTTTTATAGTAATTCTACCTATTTGAATAAGAAACAAGGGCAAGTATTTGCTCATGGGGTTTCTTTCAAAGACTCACATTTCCAAAGCTCAGTAATTTTCAAAGCAAATACAACTTTAATTTATCTTAGAAAATAATATACTGACCTTATTTATGCTAAGATATACAAGTCTAATAAACATTTATTTCTGAAGAATATTTGCATTGAGTAGTGTTTATTAGGAAATGAGATTCATCAATGTTCTTTTTATGTTTCAAGTATAGTTTACTTTCCAACCCAAGGTAAAGGAAAGAAAATTGATAATACATACTTAGATTATTTGAAGACAAAAGGCTTCCTATTTCCTTTCAACTCATTCTTATTTTGAATCTGACATTTTATTTGATTTAACTAAGTGAAGTGGCATTCACAATTGTCATTGAAATGAAATCCCCTTTAACTACCTGGAAATTAAAGTGCTTTATTTCCAAGCGCAGAAGGCTTCAGAGCGCTTATTTCCTTTGTTTTATGATTATCTCTGTCATGCAGCATCCAAAGTGTGGCATGCATCCATGAAGTACCCTTGTGCAATACTTAAACCAACACTCTGATTCACCAAAGTAAAATAAGCTGTGCTTTATGAATGGACACCTATTAAACTTCCTAAAGAAATATACACCATCTCTAACTTTTGACCTTCCATACTATGCCATTTTAGAATAGAAAGTATACATTTCTACCTTCCTTTTAGACATTGATTCTCAAAAACAAAAATTCTAATATACAAAAGTTCTTGCCTTTCCTGGCCAGCTCCCCTTTTGAAAGAATAAACATTAAATTTATTGGATAATAAGTCATTTCTAATGCACGCTCCCCCACCTGTTGCTAATTATATTAATATTGTTATTAGTTTTATTTGTGCATTTGTTGGAAATGCTACTGAACAACTCTTAAAAGTTAATAAATATGCCTCTCTGAGTGAAACAAAAAGCAAAACAAATCTACAATAGTTGTAGTATTTCAGAAGTGGATGAAATAATATAACACTGTGTTCTATTAAACAGGGATTTGTTCAAGAGGAAAAAGTGTCAATATATGGGTATAGCAGAAAAAACCTGACATATTAGAAGTCTACCTTGTTTCCTTCTTTCCTTCTTTCCTTCCTTCCTTCCTTCCTTCCTTCCTTCCTTCCTTCCTTCCTTCCTTCCTTCCCTCCATCCTTCTTCCCTCCCTCCCTCCCTTCCTTCCTCTCTCCCTCCTTTCTTCCTTCTTTCCTTTCTTCCTTTTTTCTTTCCTTCCCCCTATTTCTCCTTTTTTGCCTTACATTTCTTTCATTTATTTCTTTGTTTAAAAACTTGAGGAATACCCAATATCACATAGGAAGAGCCAATAGAACTCTTCATAGCCACAATAACTTATGACCTGGACTATTTGAAAAAAAAAATTGTTTTTCTCTATGCTCATGTTAATATATCTTAGCCTTCAAGCAAATATTTTAGAAAAGTTGGAAATCTTTCAAATTGTGCCTACATTTGGCAATCACAAAGACAGGTGAAATCCATACCTTTTACCCCCTATTCATTTTTTCCACCTCTTCCTTTTTCTATTATATCCTCAAGCTGCCTTCTCTAAACCTAGAAGGGCCTTTTACTGTTCAGTCCCTCCAGACTCCCTTGGAAGAGTACTCTTTAGCTAGACTTTCCCTTCCAAATGCTTTCATTTTGGGACATGGCAGATGAAGTGTTATCTGCTAAAACTTCAATACTAAGAATGGACTGAAGGACCCAAGACAGGTAGAGGACATGGCAGATGTCACTGGCCTACACGTAGCTTCTTCCCTAGACATAAAGGAGGTCTGGTCTGGGTGGCGGCTTTGCCTGAGGTTCTTCTGCCTCAGTGTTTGTGAATCTTTGTGGATTTGATGCTTCTCATCACCTGCAGATTGTCCTGCTGGAAACAAGTTCTTGTGGTTGGATTCAACACTTAATCACTCACAAACTTTATTTCAGATTAAAAGTTTAGTGTGGCTGTTTTCTAATAAACTCTGTTAACAGATCTGTCTGTTGTTACCCTCTTTAAAAAGTTACCTTTGCATTTATCCAAGACACTGTTTAAAACAGGAAAATGTAAAAAGAAAATACCTAAAGCAATAGTGTATGGTACTTCAAATGCTGCCACTTGTCAGATTTATATTCTCTCTTGCTCTCTCTCATTTTGTAACTAAAGAAATAAAATATAGACATGAGTCCTGTGGGCCATCGTAATTCTGATCCTTTTTCTTAGTTTTGCTGATACTATCACCATATATATATATATATATATATATATATATATGTGTGTGTGTGTGTATAAAATCTTTCTGTACTAACATTTCTAAGACAAATTGCTTATATTCATCTATTTGTGTGTTTATCTCTAGCATCACACTTTTAAGTATCAGCCACATTCCATAGCATTACAAATATTAGTTCTTTTGATCCTCACAGTAGACTAACATAGTAAATGCTGCTTTATTATCATCTTATTGGTGAATAAGCTGAGACTCAAACAGGTTGAGTGACTTATCCAAGGTCACTCATGGAGCTGGCAGAGATGGAACTTGAACCTAAAGACTGACATCACTGTCAGAGTTTGTGCAAATAACCATGTCCTTATGCTATAGGGATCTATTCTCTCCTTCAAAACTACTGGGTAGAATTCTACCATACAAATTTTTTTTTTCACTGACATAAACCATGTATCAAGAAACATTTACATAAGGCCCTTGGACTTACCTTGAAGGCATTTGACAGGTACAGATTTGGAGGAGAGACCTCCAGTATGTGGAATTTCAGTTTTGGTGAGCTCAAGATCCTGGCTTTGGATTTAAACTGGCTGAACTTCAACTTTGACCCCATTATTTATTAGCTGACTGTGTCAAACACATTTATGTATTTCTTTAAGCTTTTGTCTGTTCTTCTATAGTCATTTGTTCTTTAAATTTATTTTTATAGAGGTAAATATGACAATTTTTAATTTGGCTTTGGTTTTCATAAGGATACTTCCCTGGTCGCTTCTTTTTTGCATCCAGAAATGTTCAGGTATAATTAAAATCAAATGTATTTCAAATGTGCCATTCAATGAGATTTCAAAGAGATGGGTGGTTGCATAACCACTGACTAAAGGAGAGTATGGCCATAATTGCCAGAATTTCTTCTTTTATGCCAAACCTTCACCTACGTCTGAGCTCCCGTCCCACTGAGTTGAATTATTGCATATATTATATAGCTTTTCTGGGTTAGCTTCCTCCATGTAGCATGATGCTTTTGAGATTTAATAGTGCTATTGCACATTTCAAAGATTTATTCTGTTCATTGCTAAGTTATATCGTTTATGTCATAAAATTTGAGTATCAACAATAAGAAATGAACTTTTAGGTAGCCTCCATTTCTAGATGATTGGAGACAAAATTGTTAGACATTCACACACAGGCAGTGTATGATGTGTCACAACTACATTCGTGTTAGGGACTTGGTCCAACTGCAATCATTGATGCTGTCTCTCCCCCGAATCTCCCTGCACCTCCCCTTTCCAAGTCCCCTGCCATCTCCACAATATCTACCTCACTGCTTCCTATTATCTCTTTCATTCTTTCTTTAAATAATTTAAGTTTTAGTTTTCACCTAATAAAACAATCCATGTGGTATTTAATCTGCTTCTGATATATTTCACTGAGCATTATGGTCTCAAGATGCGTCCTTTTCAAATGCAGGTATTTTTAGCAGCATAAATTTTCAATTCCCTTCAAAAAGCTAAGGTTTTTTTTTTTTACTGATTTATGTGATAATGACCTATTTAATATTATCAAAAGCTGCTAAGCTGTTTCCCCCAGTGGCTATGAAACTGAGCATTCCCAACAGCAACAGTTATAGAATAACAATTCAAGTTATTCTACAACTTCAACAGTATAGTATTTTTTTTAAAAAAATGTATCTAGTAGAGCGTCTACAGGGTCTCATTACACTGATGGGACTCGTAGTGGTCCTGCTCTTTTCAGCCTCCCAACTGCTGGGGTTACAGGTGCATGCCACCATGACCTGTTTCTATTGCTGTCTCAGTGCACCCCAGGGTCAGGCCAGCACGGCATGCTCTGGATCAAACCCAGGTCCCTAAGCAGACACTT